ACGAACTGCAATGTTAAACAGGATATCATTTTATCTGCTAAATATTAAATCAGATATTTAAAGTATTAAATTACAATATACTTTTTCAATATAATTTTCAAAATTTCTATGAATAAAATTTCTTCAAAAATTTGGATTTGGTTCTCAATTATTTTTTCATTGTTTTATTCGATTCTTTTTGATTATTTTCGATTCTGATATTTTATTAGTATTTTTCTATATGCATTTATTAATCGATCTCGAGCATCATATTCCAAGGCTTCATATTCAAGGCTATTGCCAAACAAAAAATGGGGATGGAAAATCGAGGATGTCATCGAAGACGCGTTCTCCTTTCCTTCTTTATTCCGTCGTTAGTTCCCCTTTGTCGAGATGCATCGTGTCATTCGAAGAAGAGAGCGAATGGGGTGAGAATTGGACAAGGGTGGAAAGGGAATAGGGGTCGAGGGTGAAAAGAGGAGAGCAGTCGAGTTGCATCGCGAACCACGGCCTGGTACAATACAGTCTCAGAACCGCTTTGAAGTCTAGCCGAAATTAATGTTGCGTCTCTCTTTGGCGGTTATTGCAATTGCCGGGGTAAAAATAAAAAAACAGGGAGGTATGGAAGGGCGAAAAATTGCGAGGTTAACCGTGGCCTCAATTCCACTGCTCTAGTTATATTAAGATTGCCACTTAATTTTGCGTCAGAAATTTTTTGGTGAAATTCAAATTTCAGGTGAATTTTCGTTATAATAATTAATTTTAATGTTTTTAAAATTAATTCTAATTTTAGAAAAGAAAAATAAATGCTGAATTGTTATAAAAAGAATTTTGTTAATGATATTATCTTTTCCATCCTTTTTTTTCTTTGAGAAAAAATCCACAATTATTATATTTCATATGCAAGATTTTATATGGAACAGTATATCCTTTATGAAATTACTGTCAAACACAATTAGCTTTTTAATAACTGAAACGTGACTCAGAAACGATGGTTAAGATGATATTCTAACAATTCGAGTCTTTTTTCTTGTACAATTTTTTTTAAACAATAACGTTTATTCTGTGATTTATAATATTTAAATACCAAAGATGCATCTCTCTAAAATGAATATATTTTAAGACTATTTAAAGGTTTTCTCGTTATTGATTTTATTTTATTTCTATTTTAGAAATTAATTTATACATTTGACAAACTAAAACAAAAAATTAATTAAAAAATTGGATATAATTATTTCCTGTATAGAGTATCGAATATTCTAATTGTTTCATTACAATTTTGTGTGTTACCTGGAATTTCAAAAATCTTAAAAATCTTAAAAATTCTGATTTATTGAAAATTTTGTTTTAAAAATATTTAAGAGGGTTTGCTTTCAGGAAAAAAATTATATTTAATTTAACAATATGAATGAAACTTAATTTCTAATTTAGTATCACTTTCCTTATTTATTCGTAACTAGTTGATCCATTCTTCGTATAACCTCAGCCATTTGACTACTACACTTTTTATGATTATTCGATGCTTTGAATAATAAATTATTGAAATAAATTATTATTCAATTATTAAAATTTTGCCCACCCCTGATTCGCCGGCACGCATTTAATTATCGAGTCTTCAACTCTCGATTTGTTTCTACGTGTTTCATGTACAAATGAGAGAACGTCTCGCGGGAGAAATCGATTTCCAGAGGTGTGCATCGATGATCACGTATTCGGCCCGTTTCCTAACCAGAAACCAACCCCCTCTTTCGTCACACAGCCAACCCGATCTTACACGCTCCAACGCTCACCCGCTGGTCCATTAATTCCTCGATTAACGATACGCTCGTTCCTCCATTCGTCCCGGAAACAGGATATCAACGGAACCAACGAGAGCCTCTGCTATCTGACGAAAATCGTTCCGGCTGGTGATGTCGAATTTCCGTTTTTAATCTGCTGGATATTACACCGATTTTGGGGCGAGTTTCCGTGGTAGCGGAAGTTTGAGTGGATTATTTGGCGTTTTTGAGAGTGTATGTACGTATATGTGAGTATGAAATGCAATTGTTTGTAATTGAAATTATGACATTATAAAATTTATCAAAATGATAGATCTCTAGGAAAGTTTCGATAAAATTGTAAATTGCAATTTGATGTTTACAAAATTGAGATATTGAGTAAAGTTATTTTTAATTTTCTATAT